CTCTCTTAAGCGAGTCGAATCTACAAAGTTGCTCGGGGTTAACATCCACAGTAATCTCAAATAGGACGACCGTATCAAACATTTAGCTGCTTCATGTTATGGTACCTTAGCCACGCTTAAAAAAGTGAAGGACTTTACTAATTATAAGTTAAGAAAGCACCTTGCCGAATCGTTAGTTCTATCACGCTTAGACTTTAGTGACATTGTATTTTACCCGCTCGGTGAAAATCTGCTTAAAAAGCTTTTAGCATATTCAGTTTTCCGCTGCCAGCTTTGTCACGGGTCACTATGTGAACTCTGTGAATACTCTATTTAAATTAGGCTGGTTACCAATGAATGAGCGTCGGGGCTGGTATTTACTTAAAGCAGCGCTCAAAGCCCTGTATGATGAACATTGGCCCAGGAATCTGAGGCTTGAAGCTTCATGCTTACGTTCCAGCGAAAGTGACTGTGCCGCTAAGCGTTTTAACTCCCTCCCGGCTTCAGTGAAATCCTGCCCGGACTTTAACACCTTTTCAAAAGAAACTCATAAAATTTTAAAAGCTGCAGTTGATATTTCGTAGAGATGCGCATGCATGTAGATATTATTATAAGTAATTCTGATGTGTGTACAGTTCCTTCAAACGAATGATCACGCCTTCAAATTTTGCGACGACGATTTCTTGGCTATTCGTTCTGGCCAGGAAGGATCCAGGGACAGCATGTCCGTTCAACAGTCTTCTTGGTCCTTTTCAAATAAACATCAAAGATTTGTTTGGAACAATTTGCCGGTTCTCAAAAAATTAAATAAGTGCCGTGTTCCATAATAGCGCCCCGTTTCGAAAAAGCGCCATCCTTTGGGTATCAAGAGTAAATAAGCGCTCAGGGCGCTAAATCGAATCATTACTGTATGTACAAGAAAAATCAATATCGCAGAGCTTTTTTCATACTTGATTTTTTTTCCCACGGCGAAGAAAAGCTATAACAATTGCTAAAGCGACAATGGCTTCTGACTTTTCAGGCTCTTAAGTCGAGGATGAGGGAAAAAGTATAGCGGAAAGAGAAACAGCAAAAAGGGGGAGGGGGTGGGGAAGAGGCAGGTCCCCGCCCACACCACTCCCCGCCCACACCACTCCCCTACCCGTCGCTTTATTCAAAGTTAGCACAGATTTCTCTGAACGCGGCGTCTTCTTTCTGAATGGCCTAGACTAGCTTTCGACCAAGTTTCTTAGCAGCCACATTGAAAATGGCGGACGAGCTGCCGTTAATTTAAAACTGAATCGATGTCGCACTGAAGAGTCGGTTTGTTTCGACAATTGTGGTACATTTGATGACGGATGATGATGACCTGTTCTAAAAACTCGTCTGATCTTCACTTTGTACATCGGTTGTGTTAACTCACGCCTTTCTACCATGATGAAATTCTAATGTTTACCAGGAACCTCTCGACAGGTGAGAGATCGTCAAAGAACTTTTAACCGATTCAGTGTCAATGAAATGTATCTAATTACATAGGAACGTTACTTACTCATCTTCTAACAAATGTTGCACTGATCACCAAGGAATGGGGTGATGGACAAAACAATGAACTCCAGTCCATGGACTTAACCCCGTTAGATAACTCAAATGAACAAATATGTTGAATATTATTGTAAATGTGACATTTAAATGAATTTTGCCAGCATTATTGGAGACATTGTGGCAGAGAGGTTAGGGTGCTGGACTTGTACTCTTGCAGTCCTGGGTTCAGCTCTTTGCCCTGTTGCTCAGTGGATTTGTTTTTGGTTGCCCCCAGTTTAACTCCTAGCCTGCGCTTTGTAAAAAGCAAACTGGCTAATGCCTGTGTCCAAAATACCACAAGTTGTCAATAAGGATTCTCACTTCAGATAACCAAGGGCATTGCTGGTAAACATTGCTAGCTCTGTGGTGACGGTTTTTTTTGTTTTGTTTAAGATTTCACAAGCTACTGAGGTTCTACAGACAAATTACAGAGTGCAGTAAATAAGTACCATTGGAATCACTCACTAAATCTGGAAAGTCAGTTGATTAACACTGTGAGCTTGAAGAACCACAACAGACAGAATTGCCCTTATGATACTTCCACAGAAGATGAAAAACTGTTGGATTCCCTCTGGGACGTGTGTAAATCAGCTCAAGACATGTTGCAGAAACGGGAAGAGCAAGAAATGACCATTAAGAAATGTAGGAACAAAGTGGACTGTATGACTGATGAAATGAAAATGTTTCAAAGAATTACTACAAAGGATACTACGCCTAAACAAGTGAGTAATAAGTTTGCATGAACTTATGAGTCAACTGTTAAAATCAATAGCTTTTCTTACTGTTTAAACAGGTACCACTGATCAGCACCGTAATGATTCAAATTGATGCCCTCATGCCATTAAAGCACCCCCTTTCTAATAAGCATCCCCTCCAATAATCACCCCCTCTAATA